CTTTCGAACTGCTAGGTTGGCAGGAGCTGGGACAAGTCACGGGAGCTCACTCCATTACAAGGCCCTAGAGATTCGAACCGCCAAACTGCCAACCTTCTGATCGACAAGCATAGTGCCTTAGCCAATGTGTCCCTTTTAGATCTGGGTTACAAGGAGTTAAACTACCAATAGATGGCTGTAAAACATTGGTTTTCTGCATTCTTTGCTGCCCCCTAGAGGCTCAGCTTTTCACAGCCCCTACCTGGTTGCCCTATTAAAACCTTCAGCATTCAACTCTCAGATAGATAGATAGATAGATAGATAGATAGATAGATAGATAGATAGATAGATAGATAATCAAACTTCTGAAGTTTAAATATAAAAGTTTATAGAATCTATAATAAAAATTATAAAAGTTTAGAATCTAAACCAATGTTTAAATTTGTTTTTATTGGGGGGGGGGGGGACCCTCTAAGAGCAACATACATTTATATGTGTTTTGAGGGGGGCGACAGAGAGAGCCCTCTCCCCAAAGATTTGGTTATATTTTTCCACCAAAAGCAACATTTCTTTTCCTCTTGTGAAACTAAAGATGGAAAGAGCTAACATCCCTGCAGCTTTCTCAAAGAAGAAGAAGAAGAAGAGAAGGAGAAGGAGAAGGAGAAGGAGAAGAAGGAGAAGCAGCCAAGATGTCTTCGCCCAACTCCGTGCTGTTCCCATTGCACGGAAGGAATCATTGCTTATACAGAAGAGTCCACCAGATATTAAATCCAAAATAATTTTTGCAAACAGGTCAAATGAAATGCAGAGGCTGGAACCTTGACCCTGCTAGAGATTTTTCGAGGAATATCTGGGAGAGGATTCCTGGCCTAGCAATCGGGTCTCTTCCCATTTTGCATTCACTTTTCTTTTGAGTTGAAACAAAGGGTGAAAAACGTTTTTTGTGAATCCCATTTCGCCCCTCTGCATTTTTTAATTTACCTTTTTCACGTCTCTCACAATCACGTGCAAATTGTTTGGTGGGCCAAGCCTCTGAAAAACAGAACATTTCTTTTACATTGGGTGATTGAAGGCATTTCTGTAGAGTTTGTGCAAGGCATTGAGACATAAACATAGAATATCAAGTGTCTACACGACCTGCGGTGCCCAAGAATAAAATCCCTATTTTGGCTTAACGCAAAGACCTGGTTGATACAACATCGTGTGATAATGATAGGGTATCACCATACCTTAGTAATTCCCCCTCAAGCTCTCTATCCATCTTTCCCTTTCAATTCTGCTCTCTACCTTCTTGTCTTTGGAAGAATCATGATGGATATTTCATTTCCAAGTTGACCTGCTATCTCCTGCTAGGTCTGCTCCACTGGAGCAGTGCTTCTCAACCTTGGCCACTTTAAGATGTGTGGACTTCAACTCCCAGAATTCCCCATCCAGCCCTGTTGAAGTCCATACATGTCTTAAAGTTGTCATGGTTGAGAAGCTTTGGGAGGTTAAAAAATCCTCAGCCTATTTCAGAAGGAAGACTCACAAGATCCATTCTACCAATTCTAAAAGCAGCAGATGATTCCAAGAGTTAGAAGAATCCACCCCAAGATCCTTCACAACCCTCCAGGAGGCTTGTTTGATTGTCCTACTCCAAACTCCACCTGATGGGACATGTCCATAGCCAACAAGGTGGTTTTAAAGCAAGGTTTAACAAGGAACTTGCGAGTGTCACTCACCGTGTTGTAAAGCTCTTCCAGCCGTGGGATGGTGAGGAATCTCTGCATGTTGACCCCATTCTCAATCAAAAGCTTCACAAAATCCACCCGGTCCAGGACAAGGGCATCCAGCATTGATTGTTCCAGGGCATTTACCTACCAAAAAATGCCAATACAAAGCATGTGTTGAGGCAGCATGGCCCATAGATGCAAAAAATACTGGGGCTGGTGGAAAATATGGAGGTAACCTTGGCAAAACTGGGTTAGTTTGAGATTCGGTTTCTTGTTTTATGGCTTGGGGTTCTGTGAGAGCCTCAACCTAACTCAGTTTGGGGTTAATCCATCCTAAACATTTTCCAGGTATGGGAGAATCTTCAGAGTTGGTGCCCAGAAAGAATCATCTTAGGACACTTTCTGGACATTATTTTGCACCACGAGAAACTGTTCTGACCCCGCCCCTCTTCACACACCAAAGCACGCCGAGACAAAGATACTACAAGGGTTTATTAACACATAGACAGGACCTTGGCAGCAATCCAGCACAGACCAGACCTTGGCAGCAATCCAGNGTGTTATACAGCTGAACTGAACTCAACCTCAAAACACCTGATGAAGCAAAGGAAGGAATCTCCTACCCAAAGGGGTGAGGGGGTGGGGACGGCGAACAGCTTTGGATTCATTAATCAACTTACGATTGATCTCCATGGCGTAGACTAGTGCAGTGTTGCGAAAGCAAGGAACAAAACGAAAGAAACGGAATTAAAAAGAGAGGGAAGAAAGGGAAAGCACGCGGCAGAGATTAGGAAACTCTTCAGCTGCCAGAAAGAGATACGGTGGTGCAATATTTTTAACGGGCAAGAAAGAGGCTCCGGAACAATCGCTTCGTCATGCTCTGGAATTTCCTTTGTCTTCCCAAAATATCACTCGTGGCAGCAGGCAGATGATCGTGCAAATATATATATATTCTAGCTATTTCCATGGGGTGAAGGAATGTCGGTTGTGATGGTCAACACAAGCACGGAACATCACTGGGGAATCACGACACAATGGACTGGGAAGGCTGCGACCACGAGGAAAATGTTGTGGGTGTGCAAGCCAAACTCTTCCCGATTAGCAATTGTGATGCTCCTCATTCAGAGGCTAGCAAGATTTTGATTGTGCCCATTGATCACAGCTTGTGAAGCCACGGGGACTTTTAAAAATTGATTGTTTATTTAATTCTTGACCTTCTCAGGAAGCCGAACTGTGACTTGGGAAAAGGGGATCTTTATGAGAAGACCAGAATATTCAGTCCAACACTGGAAGATTTTAAGAAGATATTGGATAAGCATTACTCTGAAGTGGTGTAAGGTTTCCTGCCTAAGCAGGGGGTTGGACTAGAAGACCTCCAAGGTCCCTTCCAACTCTGCTATTCTTATTCTGCCATTGTTTCCCAAGTGCCAATAAGAGTCTTTTAAGCAACTCGGCTATAAAAAGATGCAAAGGTGACTTCCCAAACCCAGAAAAGGAGGAATGAGACCTTTTGTGGGAAGTCCAAAACTTTCCTTCTTCAAAGTAGGCCTTTGGTGGCAAGTTTATATCCCTCGGGCTTTGAACTTTGAACAATGGCTTGAAGACAACACAAATGGCTGAATGCACTGGAGGAAAAAAAATGGATGGAGGTCATCTTGTTGAAAGGAAGGATTTCTTGCCTTTCAACCTGACAAAATGCAAGGGATTTCCTCAAGGTGGGTTGAGAGGAATGACCAAGGTAAGGATGGAAGTCAAAGGAAGAAGAGGTTCCAAACTCAAAACGGGTCAGGGATTCCTTTGAATCTGATCATCTGCCTGAAGACAGGAAACAGAATCTTACTATGAATTCTGCTCTTACGGTCTATCTGGTCAGCAAAGACCTCTCCATAAATCATCCAGTAGGGCATGTAGAAGATGTTACGGGCCAGTCTCCAGGTGGGTTCTTCGTCGGGGTGGAGGATGGCTTGGCGGGCCACCCCGAAACTCATCAGGACCACCAGCATAATGACCACAAAATACAGCATGTCAATCATCTGTCCAAGAGAAGAACTTGGGTTAAGAGCCCGGGATGAAGGTCTTAGTGGAGAATCAGTGGGAACAAAGACTCGGGACAAGAAGCATTTACAGCCTCAAGCTTTCATCTGGAGGAAGCCTTCAAGAGCAATCTAGGGAGAAGAAGGCTTCACAAGGTCTCCACGGGCAGCAGGAACATCAGCTCTGGACGTTCGACTAAAGAACCTTACATTAAGGTAACCCACCAGAGGACCTTCAAAGGGAATAGGAGCTGAGGTGGCGCAGTGGTTAAATGCAGCACTGCAGGCTACTTCAGCTGACTGCAGTTCTGCAGTTCGGCGGTTC